AACGGGCAGAGGTGGCACTTGGGGACATGGTTTAGTCTAGTCTACCCTTGATTGGTTTAGTGTGGACTTGGTAGTGTAGGTTAATGGTTGGACTGGATGATCTTAAAGGGCTTTTCCAACCTAAATGATTCGATGATTCTATGATTAAACCATTTGGGCATGGGGCAAGTGCAGGTCTCACGGCGTTGAAAATGAGGGAGTTTGTCCAGGTGTAAGAACCCAAGCAGAGGGTGGGCCGAGCCTTGCTGTGAGCTGCGTGCCTCCGCCTGTCGTCCCGGGCTCTCCTGGCGCCAAACGAGGGCAGCCCACGCGTGGGGCACGTGGAGTTGGGGGAGAAGCAGTGGAAAGTAGCAGCTTTTGTCTTCTTTCCACCTTCTGACGTGGCCTGCTGCCTTGTGGGCAGAGCCTTGTGTCTCTGAGACCAAACGACCCGACTACGATACCATCTATGCGCTTGGAAAAGGGATGCTGCTGGATTTAGAGTGAAAGCAGAAGAATTTGTTGTACTTTCTTAAGAGCCATCTCCAGCAGAAAACCCTTGATTAGTTTAGTGTGGGCTTGGTAGTGTAGGTTAATGGTTGGACTGGATGATCTTAAAGGTCTTTTCCAACCTAAACGATTCGATGATTCTATGATTCTGTGATTCTAATCTATGATTCTATGAAAATATTTCACCTAAAGTTGCAAGACCATTCATAGAGGTAATTATTAACACATACATTAACAGTACAGCTGTGCAACAAACCTTAGTGTTAAGCAGCTGCCTTATCTTTTTTTTTATTTTGGGTAAATTCTGTCAATGTCTTTTTCTGGAATTTTTACGTTGGTTTGTTATTTTCCTTGTAACAACCCTTCCAAAAGCCTACAGGTGAGTTGTATACTTTCTGGGAACTGTTTCTCTCCCCTCAGCAGAGACTCATTCCAGAAATTTGTGTTGAATTTCAGTGAACTTCTTACGGTGTTTCTTTCCATATTTTTGAAGTCTTCAGTATTTTTAAAATACGCCTTTCTGAAAGGCCCTTATTTTGGGGCGACGCCTAGCAGCGCCAGGCACGGCCCCACTCTGCTTGGTGCAGCCAAGACAAACCGCGGGCAGCTCAGAGGAGCTTTTGGAGCCTGGGTGCACTTTAGACGAGCCTTGAAGGTCTTCCAGAGACTGCGTCCCCCGGCCCTGACGCTGCGCTCGCCTCGGCCGCGTTCTTGAACCAGCTCTTGGGTGGAGATAGCTGTAAGCCCCTGCCTGTCCTTGGAAAAACATTCCACCTGGTCTTTCATCAAGTTTTTATCTTTAAACTTTCACCCCCTTCCTCTCAATAGGAGGCATGGGGGGGGGGGGGGTGAAC